TAGAGAATCCACTATTGTAGGCATGGAACTAACTCTTTTAAATATTTCTTCACTATTGAATCTGGGAGGAAGATGCAAAATCACCATTTTGTTTTTAACGAATGCATCTTTATTTTGCCTGAAAGGATGACCTGTAGGTAAGAATATGCGGTGACAGTCAAACCAAGTGTTTTTTCCTTTATGCTTTAAAGTGAATGACTTTATATATTCCATACAATATGGACAAGCTAACTTTTGAGAAGTGTTCTAAGCTAAGAGCATATCATAAGCAGGAAAGTCACCAACTGTTCAAAGTATAATGAGGCCCTTATTAAGAAATTTTGTTTGATGGAAATATCATATGTAATAACTCCTTCCTCCCATAATAAATATAAATCATCAATCAACGGTTGCAAGAATACATCAATCTTTAATGTTGGATTATGTGGTCCTGGAATGATTATTGTTAGAAACATGTAAGGAACAGTCATACACAACTCTGGTGAAAGATTGTATGGGGTGAGTACCACTGGCTAGCATGAGTAAGGTGAAGCAGAGTGACTAAAATGAGAAAAACCATCTGTACATAAACCTAATCTTACATTCCTTGCTTCTGTGGAAAAGGTAGGATGTGTACTATCAAAGTGTTTCCAAGCCTCTGCTTCTAACGGATGTGTAATCACACCTTCTTTCGATATGTGCTCATTATGCCATCTCATATGTGCTGCAAATCTCTTGGAAGCATATACCCGTTGTAATCTAGGAATTATAGGAAAGTAAAACATCCTCTTGAATGGTACATCCTTCTGCTTTCTTTTTGACATATTTTTAGGTTTAAATCTTGGTGCATTATAATTACGGCATACAGTTTCAGACTGATCATCCTTATAGTATAATATGCATCCATTGACACAACAATCTATCTCTGTATATGTCAAACCCAATTTGGAAACCAACTTTTTAGTCCGATATAAATTTACATGAATCATGTTATCTGTCAAGTTGGTTTCCTTAAGGAGGCCAATAAATTGATTGAAATAATCACGAGGATATTATATTCTGCCTTAATACTTAATATCTTAACAGCAACAGATAACTCCAAATGAGTTGTGCACCCCTTCCATATTGGTTTTTGGGAAGCCTGGAACAAGTCATAAAATGTTGTGCCTCCTTATTTGGTGACTCTATTGTGTATTGTTCAGAGTGCACTCCTGTTGCATCATGAACTAAGTCCTCAAGATCAGGTTGGATATTATCTTCCTCATATATATTAGAACTTATCGATGGACCACACTGAGAATCTAAATATGGCTCATACTCACCATAACAAGTCCAATACCAATATTCCGGCATGAACCCTCGACGGTATAAATCAATAATTACATCATATAGACTTAGGTGTACCTGATTTTTATATTTGTAATATGGGCAGCAAAACTTTCCAACTAAGATGACACTAGGCATTTAACTAGTTGTTTAAATGAAATAGTTCATCCCTTTATTAAATTCATATGTTAATGACTTTCATCCTTATGACAATCGATTATGCATCCAACTTCTTTGATTTCTGATATCCATCTGAAATAAAAATGTGTAAAAATATAATGATTTAATAAGAACATTTACAATAATATTAATAGTTGTTTAGTCATCAAAATGTCTCATATTGAATGTTGACCTTCAAATTTACTACAAAACTCAACTCTTATCAAACACTACGGAAATGGTATGTGGCGGGTTAGTGTTCATGCAAAATAACTTCAAAGGGCCCAACAAGTGTTGAAAATCATCAAATATTATCTATCAAAACCCCTATGATTGATTTGGTCGAACGTTAATGGCCAACATTCTACACCATAAAGCATTGTAGATCTAACCCCCATATAATAGAATTTTCTCGTAAGATTAAGAGGGACTTCTTTATCAAACAACAAGCCCAATACATTCCTCCAATTCAACCATCCAAATTGAATTCTACTACTAACATCCTCATCTGTTTCATCGGAAGGTCGCCGGCCGGTCATCGGAAGGTTGCCATTTTATATGACAAAACCATCTAAGGCAACTCTATCTCTTTTATATTATGTCTCTAAGAGTAAAGCCACTCATCCACCTAAGCATCCTCATCTGCAACACTTAATTTAATATTATGCTTCTCTTTTAATGGCCAATATTCTACACCATAAAGCATTGCAGGTCTAACTACCATCTAATAGAATTTTCCCTTAATTTTGAGGGGAACTTTTTTTTCACAAAAAAACACAATGCATTCCTCCACTTCAACCATCCAACTTTATTTCTAAAAGTCACAACCCCCTCCACACCCCCCCCCCCCACCCCCCTAAACCATCCCACTAAAACTACTATTACTAAAATTACATTCCATATGCTCAACTATAGATCTACTCAAATAAAGGCATTTAGAGTTAAGATTCACATCCATAATTCAAGTTTACCTTCAACTCCCTCTCTAGTCTTAAAAACAATAAGAATATCATAAGAAAATAGTATAGATTAATTAGGGAAATACCTCTTGCAAATGTCTAGTGAGAACATCCATGAATGAAGAAAAAAAACTAGTTTTGAGTATTATCGTTAGAGATCGAAAACTGTCATGAGAACAGGTACGGGAAAACTAATATCGGCTCACCTTATAGGCGGCAGAGGCCATGAACGTCGACGGAGGCCAATAATGGTGGCGGAGGCCAAGAAAGGCTGCTAACGAACGGCTGAGGTTAGCAAGGCATCATCGCAGCTGGACAGTGAAGAGAGAACATAATGAAAGAAGATGAGAAAGCACAGGAAGAATTGTGGAAATAGGGCTTTCTCCGGCGGATGGACCGATGGATATTACACCGGTTTAATTTCTGGCGAGATATATGTAGGTAATAACTCATTGTGTTTAAATACGTCGGCGTAAACACCTGTAATTTCTAGCATATTATACTCTGGTCTATCACCCCACTTGGAATTAACGGGCGTTATATACGAAAGAAACTTGCCAGCGTACTATGCACCGGTAATTACGCCAGACGATTTTTGGCGTCATATCCGTCGGTTAAATCGTCGCTTTAAGCAATAGTTTCAGATTCGCCGGAACTTCTACTTGAAATGAGCTGTTTTCCTGTAGTGTTAGTCAATGAAGACAGTGTTTCTTGTTTAAGCATTTTTCTTTTTTATAACAATGTTTGATTCCTATTTTAAGAAATTATCCTCACATAATTAATAAAAATTATAATTAATAAAATATGACTTAATGGGTGTATCTTTTAACATGTTAAATAAATCAATTCATCGCTTCTAATAAACTTTATTGGAGAATTTTTAGGTCATGTGAAAAGGCTCCATTTTCAATGACTAATCTTCCACAAGTGTTTCCTTTAAGAACCTTATGAACCAATAATAATTAAATTTTCAAATGATCTTTTTTTTATCAATTTTTATCAAGTCTTCCTTACTCATCTTAGCAAGCATATTCAAGCATCTCATGAGTGCCATTACAAGTTCAAACATTTTTTATTCTCCAATGGTTAATGTGTACCTCTTACAAAACCTTATGAACCAATGACAATTAAATTGTCAAATGAGCTTTTTGATTAATTTTTATCAAGTCTTCCTTACTCATCCTAGCAAGCATATTCAAACATCTCATGAGTGCCATTACAAGTTCATACATTTTTTATTCTCCAATGGATAAAACTCCTCAATTTATTAAAGTTCTATATCACATATGTTTTGCCACCATGCTTCAAAATAAGCCCCATTTCCAATTTGTTAGAATGAAATGCCTAATCCAATGTAGAAGTAACTTTATAACTAAAATGTGATCATACATTATAAGAGAGAAATAAATCACACATAGGGAGAACTAAGATTTATATGGTTCATTTTAATCACCACTACAGGAAAAATGCCTAAAACCGACGGTTTTAGGACCGCCGGTAGTACCGGCGGCACCACCGGCGGTTTGGCCGTCAGATTTTAACGACGGCTGCACCGGTGATTTTGCAATTGTAAGCCGCCGGTAAGGGCGGCGGTCCCTAAACCGACGGTAAACCGCCGGATGTCAACAAGAACCGGCGGTTTAGACCGCCGTTGATAAGTTACTTTTTACCGGCAGTCAAAACCGCCGGTTTAAGCCCTAATAATTATGTATATCAGAGACCACACAACAACCTTTTCCTAAACTCAACTACACTCACTCTCAACATGAAGATTAATGAAAATCTTGCATTCATACTTACCTCACAAAAATATTTTATTTGCTTGCAAACACTAAAAAATCCTAACTTGAAGTGCATGTTTTTTGTCTACATCCCACCAAAACAATCTTTGCAGTCAAAGTATGCTAGGGCAAAGAAGTTGATATCCAATTTGTATAATGAACCAAGACATCCAAATACCCAATTTCTCATAACATTTAGAGCCTGTTGCCCAATCCTTCATACAATCCTCAAAGAACTATCACACACCACACAAAATTCAAGAAAGGTCCCTAGATTCATGAATATTATACATAAGTTTCAAGGATCTAATCCACTAAAAAAGTATAGCAAGGGTGATTCCTTCTTTCGCTTGCATATCTATTTCATATCAAATATGGATATTATATATAGTATCTTGGACCCTATGACACACTTCTTTTGTTCCAACACAACACTCTATCACCAAATATTAAATTAAATTGAGTCAAATTAACCCAATGAATGTGCATTAATTAACATATATACATATGATACACTTCTTTAATTTACTGATTATGCAAGTTGTTCATGAAAATTTTCATCATTTCTGTTTGATGACTTCAAAAGTGTTTAACTTTTAAAAAGATACACAAATAAAGCTAAAAAAAAAAAAAAAAAACCATAGAATTAAGAGAAAACCCAAAAAAAAAATACAAATTCGTACCCTTCAACCTATGATTCTTAGTTACAATGCACTTTTAGCTCACCTTGAATTGCGTATTAAAGTTGATATTAATGTGATCATTTTTGCAATTTTATCCAATGCTTAACTCTAGTTCAGTTTCTCAAGACAATCTCCATTAGTAAATCATTCCAATAATCTATAGGCCCTGGCAGGCACCAATGAAGGCAATCATTCTGCACCACAACATTCCTCCCTTTCCCAAAAGGATGAAATTTCCTAAAAGGCCCAGGATGCCCATCAGGTCTTTGTGCTGAAAGATTATACATATCTAATAGCTTGAGATTTGTAGCATTTTTCATAATAGCATTTTTAAACTCTTCTATCTCAATACCTCTCATCATTTTATCAACATCTTTTTCATAAATCAAGCCTCCCTTAAATGGCTCTGTTTTATTACAACTTCCGCCATTAGACCATTCCTTGTATTCAAAATGGCTTGGTGACCATGTCCTATAGATTACAAGAGGCTTATGATTTGCTGATAAGAAGAACTTAAACACTATTTTGAGAACTTTACGGTAGGAATAGGTCAAAGGAAGCTCTACTAAGTTCTTCTTTGGGCAGTAATGGCAACCTGTGATAGTGTTGTTCTCCAAATAAATTGTTGTTTTGAGGAACCACTGGCCTCCAGAAATAACAATGTAGTTGAAACTGTTGTATTCATTAGACCACTTGGTATCAATAGTATCAAGATGAAGTTGGATGTCTGATTTCGACACACCATCACTGTCCTCAAAGATTTCGGCTTTCATGAGCATAGGAGACCATATGAGTGAAATGGTGAAGTTGTAGTTGGTGAAGATCCATTTCCTAGACTTAAACTGTTCATCATGGTAGACTTCAAGAGGCACCTCTTCCTGTGATATGGAAAAAAAAGATTAGCACAAATCTGCATGAATGTCTATGTTATCATACTAATTTGACAATATATTTGACGATTTATTTTATCCTACTTTTGATTCACGCAATCTTTAAGATTAATCAAATACAATGTTTTTTATTTACGTAATGAACTATTAGAGAACTATTAGATTCATCAATATCTACTATTATGTGATTAGTTTGTTACTTCAGTGCCGGCATTTCTAAATAACATCATCATTAGTCTCTTCCCAACTATTTCAAAATGATAGCTACACATGGTCTTAAATTTATCCTTTGTATTATTTTTTTTAACTTCTATTAATGCCATCTTAGTTCAGCATCTTTCACACAAATTTTATTTATAAATTCAATGAGTTCATTTTATAATATTTTATTAATATATCTATACTATATAAATCTTTTTGAAATCATCATATTTTCAATAGACATTACTTCAGCCATCTCTCTAACAAAACTAATATTCCTTGCTATTTAATTCATGATAACAATAGATACAAAAAACAATCATTAACACCAATTATGACTATCACAAATAGCATTATAACACATATGCTAGATAAAATTACTATACTAATAATAATATAATTCATAAACAATTTGTTATTCAAATTATACTGAATCAAACAAACCGTTGCCTTTATGTCATTCCATCTCTAAAATAGTATAAAACTACTGTATATTATCTATATTTGTGAAATAGAAATGCCAATAAAACTAACAGCTTCAATCAATTGGAAATGGCTTTCACCTTCTGAAGAAGACAGATCAATGACAGAACCTGATTCCGTAGTATAGAATCACCAATAAAGGCCCATGATTTACTTCTCATGGCTTTCAGGAATCTCGGTGCATCTAAAGAAGAAAGATGGCATCCTTCCGGCTTCCACTTCCAGTAGAGGAAAGCAGTATCAGGCCTGCCATTTTTGATACAGTTCTGAGGAGGTTCAATGAAAGGGCAGGTCGCGTTGTTGTAAGCCGGTCCTACTGTGTTCTTTATCCATTTACCAGTGAAAATATCGCATTTCTCTGCACTATCAGATATTCAACAGCAAAGAGAAGCAACATTAGTAGAACAAGAGGGAAATTATTAATTTGGTGTATACTGGTTTGTTTCAGGTGAGGTGACTTACCATTGCCAGATGAAGAATGATGAGATTTGAATAAGTTGGAAGATGGTTGAGAGAAGGAGAAGAAAATGGTGGTGGAATTGGAGAAGAAGAAGTAGTAGAAGAAGGTGAAAAGAAGAGAAGAGAGTAACAGCTTCAGAAAAATGCTGCTGTATTTCTGGTTTGGAGCCAGCCAAGCTTTCAGATCTACGCCAAGCATCTGAATCGAACTGTAAGTAAAAGACTGAGATGGATAAGGAGAAAAGAGATTAGTCAAGGAAGACAGTGTTGCTTGTTTAAGCATTTTGCTTTTTTTATGCGGATCAATGCTATCTTCTTCTGGCGTTTCTGTAATCAATATTTAGAAAATCAGATACGCTGCCAATCAGGACTTTTTTTAATTGTTTTCCTCGTTATTCTAAGGGGAGTGGGCAACTTCTCCAAGTGGGTAGTTTAAAATGTTTCGACATTTACGTTGGCCATGTGGGAAAGGCTGGATTTGTCTGCACAGAGAATCTTTGGTTTTTTTTTTTTAACATTTAAGTTAATTTTAATTAAGTTAAATTAATACACATCACATATATAAGTTAAGAATTCAAAATCTCTTATTTGATAATCAAAACTCAAAGATGAGCTTTATTTTTTTAGCAGAAGTCGAGCACTTAGATCTTTCAAATAAACAGCCATTGAAAATACCTACTCATGGCTATTTGTCTTCTCAGTAAGACCGAATGATAACGCAAGTTGCATTTCAACTTAATTTTTTGAGTTTTTTCAAAGTTGAGAAATCATGACTTGATTCAATCAAACATTAATATAATCCAACACGAATCTCGATGTTATGTTTAAATTAAAACTTTTAAAATTATAATTTAGAAACATCCAAGCTAAATGTCTGGTGAGATAAATCCAAGTCGCTTCAAATTTAATTAAGCTCAAATGAAGCACTTGAAGAACATTTAAAAACTTCATGATATTGATTGAATAACTAAATAATCCTCACATCTTGCATGCTTATTAGCAAATTGAGCATCTCCATAAGATGAATCTAATGAACCTTGCTATATCTCCAAAAAATTATCTTGAACGGCACAAATCTCGAGGCAAAATCAAGTTGAAAACTTTTGAAATTAAATTCACAACCATATGAACTCCAATTTAAGCAAACTTATAGTCCCAACAAGGAGGAGAAAACGGAGAAGGAGAGGAGGAAGGAGGAGAAGTATGAGATCTCTCTTGTCACCAAGCTCTTCCCCGACCACCGTCTAGACTTCCTCCAGACCACCATCAATCGTCGGACTTCAGCCGGACCACCACCGCCCATCGTCGGGCTTCCATTGAACTTCTGCCCGACGCTAGAATTTTGTCTATCGTCCAACTGCTGCCCGTCACCACAGGACTGCTGCCCCATCACCAACTAATGCCAGACTTCTATCTGACCACAAACTGACGTTGGACTTCCACATGGCTTCTAATTATTGTTGGACTTACACCCTGCTACCAACTGACATCGAACTTCTGCCCGACAACTAACTATTACTCAACTACAATTTTTCTGACTACCATCTCCCACCGACTATGGTACTTCTGACCTTTGTCACCAAATAATAATATTTTTAATCACTGTCGCCTGCCGATTACGGTCCTTCTGACCTCTGTCACCAAACAATAGTCTTTATGACCTCTGTCACATACTGACTAGGGTCCTTCCAACCTCCGTTGCCAAATAACAGTCTTTATGACTTTCGTCACAAATCGACTATGGTCCTTTCAACCTCCTTCAATAGGCAACGATCCTTATGACCTTTATGGCTATACTATGGCCTTTCTGACCTTCGTCGACTGCCGACTACTATTCTTTCAATCTCTATCACCTGATAACAGTCTTTCTGACATATCTAACCTCAATTATGATTCTTCCGACCTCCATCGCATGACAACAGCCTTTCCGACTTCTGTCGCCCACCGACTATGATCTTTTAGAGCACTATCACTTGAATACGATCTTTTCGACCTCCGTCGTCAGCCGACTATGGTCCTACCAACCAAACAAACTTAACAATTATGATTCTTCCCATTTTCACAATGTAATGCACTATGTATAATGTATCTTTGCTACATCAAACCATGGCCTTCCCCGAGGGAAGGGCCTCATTTTTAATTTTTTTGTAAATATTAGTGGATTCATTCAAACTGGGCACCTCATGGATTTTCCCCCTTTTCAAAGGATTTCACATAAAAAACTCAGCTATTTCTTATGAACCCTACACTCTATTTTTAATTTGATTGTGTGCTGAATCTTCGTACAAAGCTAAGACATTAAACTTTATATTTCTTGACGCGAATAGTCCTGGATGCAACAAACCCAATAACACATCATTACGATATAACTAAAGTACTTAAAATTTTAAAATAATAATATCTGATCAAGAATTATGGTTGATCGTCTAATTGAGTGATTTTGGTACTTTCAAAAAGTTACAATAGGACACTATTCTGTTGGATTTAAAACATCCATGATACTAGTTAAAAATATTCAGTCATACATTGATTTAATCATTATATATAAAATAATTCTTCATAAAATATTTATAATTAGAGCTAGGTAATTCTGTCATCTCTCTAACTCATCTTTAGCCATAAATTTCAATTATCTAATAAACAATAAACTTTGTGACTTTATCACAAAATTTGATTACTCTATTGTTCAACAAAATTCAAGTACTCTATTATTCAAGTTCTAAATTAATTATTCAAAGTAATTAATTTTCTGATTTTCAAAACTGAAATGAATGGATTCCATATTTATCTATTAATATTCTCAACCATTTGTTTCATTATATTTCTAAGATTTAAAGATTGAGTTTATCTCTTATAAACTATTTCAGAGTAAGTCAAGAAACCATCACTATTAGTAAATCAAGCTTACGTAGAATTTTTTTGATCCACTATAGCGATTTAAATACATACAACATTCTTTACAGCTGTTTAATAATTGCTACAAATTCATTGCATTTGCATTCATTGTAAAGACTTTTGCAGCAATTTCTTGAGTGTTGCTATAGGAAAGCTTTAACAACGTTTTTTGGAGGGGTTAAAACTGCTGCTAAATGACAACAAAGATTAAAAAAATATAGATAATGTCAAACATAAAATTCATCAAATTGCTGAATTTTTCACAATTAAACTTACTTGAGCATTACAGAATCAAACATCAAATTCTACAAGTTTTACACATTATTTCTTTTTCTTTCTATCTTTTTAGAGCGAAAAAAAACACCTTATTAATGATCAAAATAAAACTACTATTTACAAACATCATATTATTAAGATTTTTTTGTATTAAAAAACTGCTTTAAAAAACAGTAAGAAACCCATCCCAATAGTATGCTCATTGGTTGTGACATAAAACAAGAAAAAATGAATAATCAAGTAAAATTGATTTATCTCACACGGCAAAAAGAATTTAAATTAAACTTAAGATTGAATTTACCACTTGAATTAAACAAAGCCTAACCCACTTTAATGACCAGTTTTTTATACCACATAACCCTTGTATCATTGGCAAACGAAACTCACGATCGAGATGCTCATTGATAAATAATTATTCCAAAGAAATAAAAAAAAATCAAAATACTGATTGAAATCACAAGTCTTCTTCTTCTAATCATCTCTTCAAATATAATTTAATGTGTGAGCGCCTTCAATTAATTATTAACGAACATTATTTCTTTTTTAATTCAATTTGTATTTTCGACATAATATTATTATGAATTTTATTTGTGTTCTTTACATAGGTTTATTCTCAAAATTATAAAAGACTCAGAGAATGATTATCTCCAATCATCCCTCTCATAGAACTTGAATCATCTTTTTATAAAAGAAATTCACTTCTTTCAATTTCAACACCTTCTTTCATAAAAGTATAAAACAACTTTTGTAATAGGCATGCCTATTAATGAAGAATATTTTTATATTAAAAGATACATCTATTGATGATTCATCTTTTAGTAATTAAAAACACATATTCATGCATATCTTTATCTTTATAAATTTTATATAATATAAACAAAATGTTTTCTTATAACAAAAAAGGGGTACAAATGCAATCATAATTTAACATTTATATTATGTCATATTTTTTAATAATTGTTTTTAATTAATTTATAATAATTATAGGTTAAATATATTATTGTACTTATGTGACAAAGAAGGGACCTATCGACTTATGGTTCAAGCACCAATAAATTTTCTATTAATTTAACTCTTAAATTAATAAATCAAAATTATTGAATTTAATGTTATATCATTATAAACA